CTGACAAGGCTGCCAATGAGAAGTCTGTTCTTTGGGAATATTACATCATTAAAAACACTGCAGCTGAGCCTACCTCACCCATTCTGGCAAATTAGCAGTGATGCAATACTTGAGTTGTGCTCAGTACTATGATATGATGGTCATAATTAGATCCAATTTGAACATTTTTGCTACATTATTTTCAAAGATTTTGTAGGTAAATCATTTTTTTCCCTTCTGTCAAAAAAAAAACATGTTAACCAAAACCAAAGCACTGTTTTATCAGATATCTAAACAACACAAAACAAATTATATTTCTCAGTATGTGTAAGTATAATAATATGTCTGAGGCATCGGAACCTTACTAACAAGACCAGCAGCATAGCATGCTTTACTAATTGCTATATCAGGATAAACAGGCATTACAAACAATACTTATATTTTAGAAAAAGTGTTCCCAGCATGGGGGTTTGCGAGAAATAAAATGGGGAGGTTGTAAGATTGTCATAAACGAGACAGATGGACGCAGTATTGAAGGCGAGTCAGACAGTGGGATGTTTCAAATCGTTTAATGACAGAAATGATAAAACAGAACAGACCAGAAACGCAGGGTGCTGAGGACAAGCGGACCAAAGCGGCTGCAGGAGGGGGGCGGGGAACCGCCCATCACTGACACTCTGTGTCACAGTCTTGGTTCTGTTATGTTTTCTTTTGAGTATTCAGTTTTACTTTGCTCCATGTTTTCTATTTTTTTTTTTTTTTTTTTTAATTCCTATTTTGTTGTGTTTTCTGGATGTATTTAAGTTCTTAGGTTTTTATTTGTTGCCCTCTGTTTCCCTCTTGGGTTGGTCTCCTTTTCCCTAGCTCCTTTCTGGACTCCTCTCTTCACACCTGCTCCCACTGAGCTCTTTAGTCCTCTCTTTGTTCAGTCTCCCATAAATACTCTCCTTGTGCAGTTCCTCAGTGCTGGTTCCTCATCGTACTTCATCTTAGCTTGTCTTACCCTAGCTCCTCCTGATTGTTTTCCCCTAATGTCTCCATGGTTCTGGTTTGTTTTACATTTTTCTTTTTGGATTTTTGGATTCCTGCCTCAGTTGTTTGTAAACATTTCATTAAATCTACAAAAACTCTGCCTCTGCATTTGGGTCCTCAAACCTCAACCAAACCCTGACACTCTGGAGGGAGTAACACAGGTAAGTGACCATGATCATCTGACAGGAGATGATTATCTGAGTGAGTCACTTACCTGGTTTATTAGTTCAGTCCATCCTCTCCGAGATAGGCAAGATCGAGCCGATGGACTGCCAAACGTGATGCATCATTCAGAGTGTCCCTGATGCAGCAACCCCAGTGAGCAGGCAGGTCAGAGAAACAGTTCAGAACCGGACAGTTCCGAGATCCTGGAGTCCGTAGCCTGACCAGGGGTTCCAATCCGAACAGGAACGGACAGATCCAGGGTTCCAGGAATCCTCAAGGGTGAAGGCATGTTCAGAGTTCTATGAGTCCAGCAGCGAGTTCAGTCAGACACACTCAGATGGAGACAGGCAGGCCCAGTGGTTTAGAGGAACAGAGACAATACATGGTAGCAGGATAACTGCAGAACTAGAATCTCTTAAGAGCCAGGATCACGGGAATTAAAACTGACATCCCCCGCACTCCGAACCAAAACCCTGAGGGCTCTGTGGAGAAGGACCAGAATCCGCAGACATTAACCAGGAACTTAACTCTCATGTAACTAACATGAATAACTGATACGAAAACATAACATGAATAAACTAAGAATACAGGAATAAACAAAAAAAAAATCTGGCCCTGGCTGAACCATATATATAGCAGAGGGAGCAGGTGAATAAGATAAATGATAATTACAGAGCGGGGAGAGAATGGCAGGTGAAAGACGTGAGCAATCAGATAAGCTACTGGGGCTGGGATCATGATAAAGATGGCTTTCAAAATCATTATGATTTATTGAGTCTTTCTGGTATAAGAGGCCAAAATGATTTCCAAACACCTGTTTTATAATACCGTAATATCTTTTAGATGCTTTGGTATCTTTACTCCACATTCTGTTAAACATGGATGATTGCCCACTAAATATACAGTAATTACACACCACTTTATGGTTAGGATCAAACAACTGTTTGAATGACATCATTGATTCCGTTCTAAAATCTAAAGCTAAATTCCCTCTTTATACTTTACATACTGTTAAGACATATAGTTTTTTCTCTTTTTACATGATTAATAGGGGATAGTTATTGCAGTTTTTCCAGAGGTTTCTGTTTATTTTAAGTGTGACAGAGGAAGATTGCTGACAGTAATACAAAAAAGGCCCAATTAGCCAAACATTTGAAAGAGGAACTGTCAGTGTTATTATTTTAGACAGAGTGTCTGATGTGGAAAAATGTTTGTTTATAGAGTTTGGGCAAGAATGGGTATGTAAGCAAGTATAGTTATAAATCAAATAAAAAAGGATAAAAAAAAGCTGTTATTGTAGATTTCAGTAGACCTGCAGAAAAAATGTCAAGCACTTGAATCTTTGATTACTCAAATTATTCTAAAAACTCTGTTTATGGAATTAAAAATATATGTTTTTTAATGAAAATATTTGTAAATGTGTGTAGTGTCATGATACAGCAACCAAGATTTGGGTCCAAAGACTGACCTATAACCTGCATGTATTTAAACAACTAATATTTTGGGTAAAATAAGTAATCCATCAATCCATTGTCTAGGGATTCATAGCCCTTAGAGGGCTGTACTAGTTTCATCCCTCAATGGTTAGTTGGTTAAAGACACGTATTTGGTATTTTTTTTTATTTGTAAGTATATTTTTTCCTAATACATATATTGTATTATTTAACCTAACCAAAGTGACTTTGGATTGTGAGAGGAAACTGGAGAGACTCTGGCCATGCACAGAAAGAACATGCAAAGGCCACAAAGAACTGCCCAAGGAAAGCTGATAAGTCTTGCTGCCGGGCAACAATACTAATGAATGCCAAGATTCAGTTACAAATTAGATGACACCATAAAATTATGCATATATATATATATATATATATATATATATATATACAAAATAAATTTCGTACAGTACGGCTCTCAAGACAGCAGTGATAAAAATGTAAACACGGTGGTTGAAATATAAACATCAGATATGATTTAAAGTTTTCCAAAATTCAGCGATATTTTATTTTTATTTTTTTTGTTTTATTCAACATTCAGCAGTTGAATGGCAGTGGGGAAGAAGCTGTTTTGGAAACTTTGCATATATCATCAGATTAAGTTAAAAGTCCTTTAATAACTGAATCTGTTTACAAGAATTTATACTTTAAACATATTATCATTATAATTGCTAAACCTAATTGACTCACTGACAAAAGGCTTTGTTCAAACAGTGAATACTGAATATAACTAACACTAGATAGTGCAGGTTAGCAAATAATTCCACTCCACAAATAATTTTATATATTGATTAAAGTTGAATAACTATATCCACTGATATTAAAAGTAGTATATTGCACAATTTGTGTTTCTGTCATATTTTTTTCTACTGAAGAGATTTACTGAGGTCTGATATGGTTACAAATTAGTTAGAGGCAAGATCAAATGATACTGCCACCTCTGGCCAAAAGCAGAACTGCAGTGATATTCTGCTCATTCTAGTAGCAGTCTTTTTTTTTTTTTTTTTTTTTTACTTTTCTCACTTAACGTGGAGCTGCCATTTTTGTCTGAGTTGAGATGAATGCCAGTTGCATCTGAGTACTCAGAAAATTCCTATTGAATATAACGCCTTGATTGGTTGGACTAATATACAGTAATATTGACGCGCGTGATGTCTCATTTGGCAAACAGAGCGGGTATGATTAGGGTTCTTGAAGCTGCTTCTCTCAAACCACAAATTAGGTTTCAGTTTTTGGCTTAAGTACTCTCACTACAGTAAGTGTAGCATCTACCCCAGAAAAACATTGGTTTAAAACACGTGTTAAAACTATCTTTGAATAACTAAAAATACTCTGTAAGTAGAGGCGGGTAGTAACTAGTTACATTGGCTACTCTAAACACTGAATCATTTAGTTAATGAAAAACAAATGTATATTAAACAATGATGGACCAAGGAGACACACACCTGAATGTTATGTTCATGTGAAACTTTGTTTTCTTTTTTGTTCTGTAGCTTTATTACTGTGCAGCCTGATGCTATTTTCATTCAGAAGTCAAGTGCTAAAACAAAAAACTGAATTTAGTATTTTGCAATTTCTGTATGTTATATATATATTTTTTTCCCTTTCATTATCTGAAATACCATAATTTGCTCATAAATGTATGTTTAACACATTTTTTTTATATTAAATCAGCTGTTATGAATGTAAGCAGAAGTAGTAAGAAGATCAGTTACTTAGTATTCCATTCCTTTTCACCAAGTATATTTTGACTATTATATGAATAATTTTTTGAATTACTACTTTTACCTGAGTAGAAATATGATGATGCAGTGCTGCTGTTACT